GTACCACTGGGACTGAATCAACAGAAGGGGGGTATCAACACTGACATTTCTCACATAAGCTAAATACACGGCACACCCTTTCTCAACCATACGCAGAGCTTTAAGGAAAGAGATAACTCTACTGGGAGTGTGATCTAAGGCACCCCTCTACTCAACACGCGATATACCTGGCATGGCCAGCGTCACGGTCTTGGCGTGATAATCAAGAATAGCATAATGGGCGACAACCGATCCATACCCAAAATAATATCAAAATCAACCTTACTGAGTAACAATAAATCTGCTCTGGTCTCAAAACCACGAATAGTAACCAAACATGACCAATAAACGCGGTCCACAACAAGAGAATCCCCCACAGGAGTAGAAACATAGACAGGAAGACTCAAGGAAATCCCGAGGTACACCCAAATGCGGGGCAAAATAAGAAGACACATAAAAATAAGTGGAGCCTAGATCGAATAGAATCGGTACACCTCTATAACAAACCATGACAATACCTGTGATGACAGAATCGGAGGCAACAGTCTCGGTACGGGTAGGTGGGGTAGCAACTGGGGTTGTAACAATAGCCTGAGAACTCTGCGGGGCGCGCGGTGGCCGAGAAGTCTGTAGAGATGCACTCCTCCCAAGTCTAGGGCAATACCTCACCACATGGCGTATGTCACCACACTCAAAGCAACCTCGCGACTGACGTGGCAGTGGGAACTGTGCGGTACGGGTACTCCGAGACCCCTGAACACCTGAAACTCCGTGTGAAATCCGAGATGCAAACTGAGCTGGCTGGCCCACAAAACCTCTACCATGACGCACCCCGCCTCCAAAATAAGGACCAGTATATCTCCCCGGTCCACGAGGTCTACTCACCTCTCTATACTCTCCCTCCTGACCTCGCCTGTCCTCTCTCTCCTGGACCCACCTGTCTCCTACTTGGCGAGAGGTCCTCACCACCCGCTGAACTGGGACCACAGGTTGTGTCGCCATGACGCCTGGAACCTGACCAATAGGAACTCGCTGCTCTGGAGTGGGGGCGGCGGGAGTCTGGGTCCCTCCCCCGATCTGCGAAGTAGTCGGTACAACCTGAATCAATCCCGCCTAAATCAACGTACTAAACATGCTCAGGAACTGCGCCAAAGCCTCTTGAAGAGCTGGAGTAGTAGTAGTCGTAGGCGTGTCAGGTGACTGAACTCCGGCTAGATCTGTTGATGGTACCTCGGCGGCAGCTCGCGCAGGTGCTCTCGCTGCACTACGGGTGCGTCCTCGGCCTCTACCCCGGCCCCGGCCTCTGACGGCTGCAGTAGGGGGCGCGGGTGCCTGATCATCTCGAGTAGCATGTGTCCTCACCATCTGTGAGAGAATAGAAGGCAGAAGTTTAGGATTGTGATGTCAAAAATTTCGCACGACAGGGAATCAAATGAAGTGAGATTTTCCTAACGGTTACATAGCCTCTCGTAGATAAGTACAGACGTCTCCGTACCGATCAGCGAGACTCTAATAAACCGGCCTGTGTTCCATGACTCCTATGAACCTAGAGCTTTGATACCAACTTGTCACGGCCCCAGTTCACCCTCCATGAACATGTCGTGATGGCACCTAGTTCCTACAACTAGGTAAGCCTAACAATGCGGAAATAACAGCCTAAATTGCGAAATGGTTAAATAAAGCTAGACATATTAAAATAATAACTGCATATAAGGCCGCTCGGCCTATACAACTCAAAAGGAATGCGGGAGTCTACAACTCAATCCCAAAACCCGAAAACTCACGGGAACCACAGGCTAATAGAAATACTGTAAATGCTCTAATCTCCAGAATGTCTACATCAAAAGTATGATAGAATCTAGACACTACAGATAGAATAAGGAAGGAGACTCTTCGGTCTGCGGACGCTGCAGATATACCTCGAAGTCTCCGTAGCTCTCCTCACCTCAAGGATAGTGCGCCTGAGTGGAGGTACCTGGATCTGCACATAAAAAAAACATGCACAGGAAGGGCATGAGTACACCACAGCGGTACTTAGTAAGTGCCAAGCCTAACCTCGGTTGGGTAGTGACGAGGAAGGTCAGGACCCTACTGAGGCTAAACAATAAAATATAAATCAACAGTATGAAAATAGGCAGTAATAGTGAGTACAACAGTGGAATAAGACAGACTAAACAAAGCAATAACAAATACACAATGAACGGAGCAAACACAGAATAAGTACAGCTCAATACCAATGGTAACAATGAGGATCTCCCAGGATACCGTCCTGTAGTCCTTTTCTCAACTGTCCAGTGGATCTCCCGGGATACCGTCCCGTAGTCCATCATATGTGTATATCCGAAGGATCTCTCGGGATACCGTCCCGTAGTCCAACTATCAATGTGCAGGGGGATCTATCGGGAATCTAACCCGCAGTCCCAAAGTAAATGTACAGGGGATCTATCGGGAATCTAACCCGCAGTCCCAAAGTAAATGTGCAGGGGGATCTATCGGGAATCGAACCCGCAGTCCCAAAGTAAACAAACAAGGGGGGGAGCTACCGGAATCCCACATCCGTAGTCCCAATGTAAATGTGCAACCACAACCAGAAGATATTCAGAAATGAAGTACAAAAGACAAACATTAGGTAGTACTAGCCTAGCATGCTTCACGTAGTACAATCAAGGCAACTTAAACAATTAGGCAAGATAAATCAACTAAACATGCTTTTCTAATCTAACACAGGTTATAACTACAAGTAAAATAAGGCAAATATGAAGGAAACTCAGTCTCAATATCTTAAGTAAAAACCGGATTTTTCAACAATTAGCTCAAGTACACGCTCGTCACCTCACGTACAAGGCACTCAATTACCACATATCATATCCTAAGGGGAAAGGTCCCCCACACAAGGTTAGACAAGCCACTTACCTCGAACCGGCTCAAAATCAACTAGAAATCACGCCTTTGCCACGAGTATCCGACTCCAAATGGCCCAAAATCTATTCAATTCAATTACACATTGTAAATAACATCGCAAACAACTAGTTTTGCTATTTAATTCAAAGCTACGACGTGAAATTAGGTGAAATGACCAAAATTCCCTTTAGGCCAACGTCTCGGAATCGAATAATTTTCAGATTTTCAGAACCCTCGTACTCTTACGAGTCTAACCATATAAAAATCTCCCAAATCGAAGGTCAAACACCCACTCAAAACCCAATAGTTTAGCCTATGAAGTTTCACCCAATTTTTCCAATTTTTGATCCTAAATTCGAATCTTTAATGATGGATTTAACTACAAAATGATGAAATATAACTAGATTGGATTAAAGAAACGTTACCCAATAATCTTCTCTTCAAAACCCTCTAAAAATCGCCCTTCCCCGAGCTCAATTTGATTTTTCTAACTTATGAAAACTAACCCTTGAAATTTCTATATCTGCTCAGGGGTTTCCGCTTCTACGGACAAGGGACCGCTTCTGCGGTCCCTCTTATGCGGAAAACGAGCCGCTTCTGCGACTTTCACCAAAAAAAACGACGTCCGCTTCTGCGGTTCAATAACCGCTTATGCGGTTTCGCTTATGCGGATTTCTTACCGCTTCTGCGGTTTTCTTACAGTTGACCCAGGACCGCATCTGCGATAGAAGCCTCGCAGGTGCGTAACCGCATCTGCGGTAGATCTTCTGCACCTGCAGAAAAAGCTGACGGAGCCCAAATTCGCTCCTGCGATTGAGTGGCCGCTTCTGCGGTTCCCAAGCCGCAGAAGCGAAAATACCAGAAGAGAAAAAAAACCAACTGCTGCAACCTTTCAAAAATTCTCCGTTAACCACCCGAAATCATCCCGAGGCCTCCGGGACCTCAACCAAAAGCACCAATAGCACCTAATACCTTATTAAAACTTGTACCAATCCTTAAACCACCTAAAACAACGCCGGAAACTCGAATTAATCAGTGATTTGAGCCTAAGAACTTCAAATTCCATCAAAACACGCTTTCGATCAAAAACCTAACCAAAACACGTCTGAACGACCTGAAATTTTGCACACACATCCCAAATGACACGACGGAGCTACTGCAACTTCCGAAATTCCATTCCGGCCCTCGGATCAAAAACTCACTAACGGACCGGAAACTTCAAAAATTCAACCTTCGGCATTTCAAGCCTAAATGAGCTACGGACTTCCAAAATACATTCCGAACACGCTCCCAACCCCGAAATCACCTAACGGAGCTAACGGAACCATCGGATTTCCATTCCGAGGTCGTCTTCACACTGTTCCGACTACGGACCACTTTTCCACACTTAAGCTCTTATTTAGGGACTAAGTGTCCCAAAACTCTCCGAAACTCAACGCCGAACGTCCCGGCAAACCAAAATAGCAGAAATGAACTTAGGGGAAGCAGTTAATAGGGGATCGGGGCGTTAATTCTTAAGACGACCGGCCGGGTCGTCACAATAAGATTCCATGAACTCATTAGTTGTTTAAGCCCACTTTGTAACTGCAAATGATTACTTGCCTGATGTAAAGGAATTGAATAAAAATCAAGTCATAAAGAAAGAGAGAGCGAGAGAGAATCTTCAAATTTTTTAAAAACAAATTTATATATATTAAAAAATGACATAAAATTCTTATACGTACTACTCCATCTGTCTCAATATATGTGGCACCGTTAGACTTACACGGAATTTAAGATAGAGAGAAACATTTTTGAAATTTATAGTTTAAAATAAACTTTAAACATTTGTATGGTCACAAATTATATCGTTAAAGGAAATGAAAATTTTGAAGTTAAACTATTTCTAAGTATAGAAAGATGACATAATGCCATACAAATTGAGATGGAGACAGTAATAATTAAAGTATTTAAAAATGATTGTCTAAGAAAATTCCCTGAGACTCTTCAAACTGTAATAGTGACACATAAAAGTGAGTATTGAAACTTCTTTAATCTTTATCCATTCTTCTGTGTCCTTTTTCTCTGTACTTTGGGTGGGGAATCAATCTCAATAGAAAATATGGTAATGTCCCATAAATACGTGATAACGCGTGAATGCGCCGAATATGAGAGTTGGCATTTAGATAGCTAGGCCCCATTCACTGAGCCTTCTTTACCTACCCATTCATTATTTATGTGCTTCGTACTAATCAAACTGCTCCATTCTTAAAACAACTTATCAAAAACCCAGAAAGGGATGCTTCATATCTACATTCTTTAATTCTTTCCATTTTAGTAGAAATACTTAGCTATCCACTAAATTTGGTATGTTCCTATTTCTTCTCACTTCTTCTTTTGTCTCCTTTCTTGTTATTATGTTTAAAGCTGCTAAATTTTTTGTTCTTACTTCTTTGTTTGAGCTGAACATGTCCAAGAGTTGCTTTCATTTTGTACTTGAAAATTTGTTAAATAATATATGTGAACTGGGAATTTGCAGGTATATTATAAGGGGGTTTGAGTGTCAATTCTTTCATTAGTGTTCCAATGAGGAAATTGGCTTTGCTTCATCTGCTTTGTGGAATCTTGGTTTTTTGGAGTGTTTCTGTGGTAAAAGCAGAGGATGATTATAAATACTTCACATGGACTGCCACTTATGGAATGGCTTCTCCACTTGGAGTTTCCCAGCAGGTTTGCCACTTTGTTTATTTATTAACTGTCTAGCTAGATGCTATTATTATCTTTATTGTAGTAAATGTTGATACGGGTTAATCAAGAACTTGAACTTTTATGATAAGTTTTGACCTTTTTATGATAAATGTTGTAGGTGATCCTTATCAATGGTCAATTCCCTGGTCCTAGGCTTGATCTTGTCACTAATAACAATGTTATCCTTAACTTGATTAATAAGTTGGACGAGCCCCTTCTCTTGACATGGTGAGTCTCTTTTACAATCTCTCCCTATATGTTACGCGCCTATTTAAGTGATGAAGTTTGCTCAAATTTGGCATAAGCTTTCCCGTAACTTCTTATTTGGCGTTTAACTTGTTAACTATACTTGTTTCTTTCAAAATGTATTTCCGGTTTGGATTATGGCATTTGACGTAGGACAGAAAAAAAATAAATTTGGATTGACCGTATAAATCAAAGGCGAATAAAGGACTTAAACTTGATGAGTTCAATCTTTAATACTTTTGAAATTATGAGTTCAGAATTTTATATTTATGAAATGTTTAGTGGTATATCATGTTATATGTCAAAAATACTGGATTCAATTGAACCCAACGAATACAAGCTGCATCTGCCACCGACTGCATTCATGGAGGGAGGAACTAGATAGTGTAGTCTTACATGTTAAATTACTTTTCATGTTTAGGAATGGAATTAAGCAGAGAAAGAACTCTTGGCAAGATGGAGTTTTGGGAACTAATTGCCCTATTCCTCCAAACTCAAATTACACTTACAAGTTCCAAGCTAAAGACCAGATTGGAAGCTATACTTATTTCCCTTCAACTCAATTACACAGAGCTGTGGGAGGCTTTGGGGCGCTTAATGTTTATGCAAGATCTGTAATACCCGTTCCATATGCAAAACCTGATGGAGACTTCAGTTTACTTATTGGTGATTGGTACAAGACCAGTCATAAGGTGACTCTACTGCCTATCTCTTGCACTCTTTTATATTAAAGTTTAGCTACCATCACTCTTGAAATAACTTTCTGAAGATTTTGATGCAAATGTTATGTCCTCATTTTTATGAATTTTGAGGAAATGTCCGGCCATTTTAAGAAACTGCTTCAAGGAAATTAGATGAAGTTGTCTGTTGCTCTGGTGTGGAAGAATTTTTAACTATGTAAGTGTGCTTAATTCCTTCGTATCCTTGGAACTTGCAGGCATTGCAGCAGATATTGGATTCGGGCAAGTCTCTTCCTTTCCCAGATGGTCTCCTTATAAATGGACAGAAGCAGTCAACTTTCAATGGCGATCAAGGTTATTCTCAGCATTTAAAACAATCTTCCCTGATGTCTTTGTTTGTCACTGAATTGCCATTCACTTTCACACTGTGCTGCTTTTTATCCTCTAGAAATAACAAATCATTGATAACACTAATCTTGCTTTTGGTCTTCAGGAAAAACATATATGTTCAGGATTTCAAATGTGGGTTTGAAAAATACCATTAACTTCAGAATACAGGGCCACAAGATGAAGCTGGTCGAGGTTGAAGGATCCCATGTTATCCAAAATTTATACGATTCTTTTGATGTCCATGTTGGTCAATCTTTATCCATCCTTGTCACATTGGACCAATCTCCAAAGGACTACTACATTGTTGCATCTACAAGGTTCACCACGACTGTTCTTACTACCACTGCAGTGCTCCACTACACAAACTCTCAAACACCCGTATCTGGACCTGTGCCAGCTGGTCCACCCGACCAATTTCAGTGGTCTCTGATGCAAGCCAGAACATTCAGGTACATATTACCAATGTGCATTCACTGCCTCCTCTCATCAATGGATTTTTGTCTCCAACTTTAGAATCCTGGATTCCTTTGTTGCACTCAGTCCATGTATTTAGTGAACTTTTTATTTTATTCGCCTTGACTATACATTCATAGATCACTAGGGTGAAGGGTAACCTAGGAAATTTTACTAACAACTGGGTCGCGCAAGGGCAGTTCAGAGCATAAACTATTTGTTTGAAAGGCAAGTAACATGAGTCTCCTAGTGCAGTGTCCGTAATGGTGGATCACATTTCTGTCGCACTGGCTTATCATTCTTTACTCAAGCATATAGTTTGGAATGCGGAAAGGAAAAGGAGACAGCTTTGATTGTTATAACTCTTCAATAACCTAACTTGTTCTTTTGCTTTTGAAGGTGGAATCTGACATCAAATGCAGCTAGGCCAAATCCTCAGGGTTCATTCCATTATGGGAAAATTACACCTTCAAGGACTATTGTGCTTGCCAATTCTGCACCACTTATCAGTGGGAAGCAGAGATATGCTGTCAACAGCGTCTCTTATGTTAATCCAGACACCCCTCTGAAGCTTGCTGATCACTTCAACATTCCTGGTGTTTTCAGTTTGAATTCCATTCAAACTATTCCAACTGCTGCTTCTCCATCCCTAGCTACAGCTGTGTTGCCAGCTTCTCTCCATGAGTTCCTCGAAATCGTTTTCCAAAACAATGAGGATACCGTGCAGTCGTCGCATCTTGACGGTTATGATTTCTGGGTCATAGGGTATGTCACAATCCTTAAAAATGTTTTCATTGAACCTCGGTATGAGCTAAGCAGAGTTCTCTAATTCTTCCTATTGTTAATATTTGCAGTTTCGGATCAGGTACTTGGACGCAAGATAGTAGAAAAGAATATAATCTTGTTGATGCTCTTACTAGACATACTACACAGGTAATCCCAGTTTCCTCCTTGGCAATACTACTGTTTCTGGTCTAAAATGCTGCATAACTAATATAATCTCCGTTCCAGAAAACAAAAAATGTCCTTAAAAATTAGGCAATCACAATATAACAGTCAATGTATTATGCTGCACAACAATTCCTACATTATTATTCATTGCATTTTGTTTACGTCAATATGAAATGTTTCATGCAGGTTTATCCTAAATCTTGGACTGCTATATATGTTTCTTTGGACAACCAAGGAATGTGGAATTTGAGGTCTGCAATGTGGGATAGGCAATATCTCGGACAGCAAGTTTACCTAAGGGTCTATAATCCAACAGCCAGTTTAGCAAACGAATATGACATACCTACCAATGCTCTTCTCTGTGGCAAAGCTGTTGGTCGACATCCTTAATTTGATGAATATAAGGTCTTATGTTTTCTTGGTCATAAGATGTTGACTACAAGAGATTAGCTTTACCAATAAAAAAAGAGAGGTTGACTACAAGAAATGACGGCAAAAGAAACTACTTGGCTAACTTATGTTGTACTGCATCACAAACAATTGAGTACTACTATGTGTTTTTTTTATTGTTGGCTAAGCTAGTTTTTGATGCAGTTAGTTCTGAGTTTTTACTGCTTAGAAATTATTTATTAAGGGCATTTTTGTATTCAAATACTTCTATTTTGACATTCTAATATATATACTCTTATTCTGTATCATATCTTGAATTAAATAATGTGTTTATTCTCGTATAACTTAATATAATTACTCCCTCCGTTGTAATTTATGTGAACCTATTTTACTGGGCACGGAGTTTAAGAAAAAAAGAGAAACTTTCGAACTTGTGGTGCAAAATGAAGAACATATATTTTGTGTGGCTATAAATCATTGCGTAAAGGTAAATTATTTCTAAATATGGAAATGGTCATTCTTTTTTGAACGGACTAAAAAAGAAATAGGTTCACATCCATACACTATATTAAAAGCACGAAGGCCCTTAGCCAAATGTCGTTCGCCTTTTTGCCCCTTTAAAACTAGAGTTCACAATGAATAAAATAGTCATTTTATTAATTTTCTAATATTTATACTATTAATTTTCTAATATATAAGATTTTAAAATCAACTAAAACTTTAGTTATTATAGTAGGAAATCCCAATACTTAAGATATTAAGATCAATTAAAATTTGGGTGATGCTAAACGGCCCAACTTTAGTAACCCAACTTTGGCCACACTCATGAAAAGATATCAAAGACCCCCTAACTATTTAGCCTACAATTTTCCCTCCAAAATACAAAATTAAATATTGAGAGGCTTTTCCTATTCCAAAGCATTGACGTATGCGAAAGTTGAATGTTGGTAGCTGAAAAGTCTTTGTAGTATATTTGTATTTTCATTGTATTTTATGTGTATACAAATTATTGTATTTTCTTAAAAACAAATACGGTATATGATTTAGTATACTTCCTCCTTATCAAACCAAGTCAAGTGGACACTTTCTCCTTATCTAAAAATGGATTCAAACCAAAAAAAAAATTGGTGGTACAAGAAAATATGAATCCAAATGAACATAACACAAATACAACAACCACAAATATCCTGTATGTCTTGAAAGTTCTAAAATTATAACATTTTTAAAACAAAACATAGACTTCTAAACCTACAAAAATATTTTGAAATGTGATTTTTAATGTCTTAAAGGTACTGATTATGTGAATTTGTGATGGTTTGTTAAGGTTCTAAATCTAGAAACACGATTTCTATTATAAATTTGGTATATATTATATAAATCAAATAAGAAAAACTAATACACAAAATTTAGTAAATTTATAAGTTCTAAATATTGAAAAAAACTTTATGTCTTAAACATTAGAAAAATAATTAAATCCCTAAATACTAGAAAAATAATTAAAGTCCCAAATACTAGGAAAATAATAAAATAATTATTTTATCGTGTGTAAAATATATTATTTAAGGATAAAAAAGGCGAATATCCTAAATGTATTGAATGTTCCAAAATTATAACATTATTCAAACATAGACTTCTAACCCTACAAAAAATATTTTGAAACATAATTTTTAATGTCTAGGAAACAGCCTATGTACCTTCACAAGGTAAGGGTAATAAGGTCCGCATACACATTACCCTCTCTAGCTCCACTTGTGAAATTACACTGAGTTTTGATATTGTTATTGTTGAAGTACTAATTATGTGAATTTTGTATGGCTTTTTAAACTTCTAAACCTAGAAACACGAGTTCTTTTATAAATTTGGTATATATTATATAAATCAAATAAGAAAAACTAATACACAAAATTTAGTAAATTTAGAAGTTCTAAATATTGAAAAAAAAATTAAAGTCTTAAACATTAGAAAAATAATTAAAGCCCTAAATACTAGAAAAATAATTAAAGTCCCAAATACTAGGAAAATAATAAAATAATTATTTTATTGTGTGTGAAATATATTATTTAAGGGAAAAAAGGCGAATGTCCTATATGTCTTGAAAGTTCTAAAACTATAACATTATTCAAACGAAAGAATTACAAGAAAATACACATGACTTCACACCATAACAAAAAATGGCCCATGTTTTTAAGTTTTACCCCACCTAGCGCACATTGTACATATTTTGAAAGCACTTGCAAATTCAAAATATATGTTTTTACAACAATTGCTTCTAAAAGCTATGGCGTTAATTCTTTGTTCTCACAACTATTGCTTTCACTCTCTCTTCTTCTCACATCTTTTACATATGCTTCAAAGGACCGTGTATTTTCTGCTTCTCCTCTTGTTTCACCTGCTTGCAATGAAAGAAAATTGAAGAGTAGAAGTCCACCATTGAAGATCATTCAAAGCTTTGCTTTTGAAAATGGGTTGTTTTGAATTTGTTAGTTGTTTGGATTGGGTATTGTTCCAATTGATTGAAAATATCAAAAGGAGTACAAAATTTAAATTTGAAGTGATTTGGAGTAGATTTGAGCAAGATTTGAATTAAATTTCAGAAAAGACGCAAGAAAGAAGACGAAGTCAGTTTTTTGTATAATTATGTATAATCTTGTATAATATTGTATATGAGTGTAGAAACACACCTTATACACTGTTATACACTTTTATACACCTTTATACAAGCGTCTGTAGACGAACTTCTTCCACGATTTTCAGTTGCAATTCTTATTCAAAACCAGCCCAAATCTCCATTAAATGACTTCAAATTTTATATACAACCTCCTTATACTATTTCTAACAAGTCTAAATAATACCCACTCCAAATTTTTCATAAAATCAAATTCGAAATTTAAACCCACATATTTAAGCTTGTTAAAAATCTAATTTTCACCACCCANTAAAAAAATAATTAACAGAAGAAGTAAGATTCTCCTTCTTTAATTACTATCCTTAATACTACAAAGAGTGCACGTCAAATTTTTTTGTTGGTTAAAAAGAAAAAATAACAAGACAATAACTAGGAGACCGATTAATCTATCTATCTATATATATATATATATATACACTATATTAAAAGCACGAAGGCCCTTAGCGAAATGTCCTTCGCCTTTTTTACCCTTTCAAAATGTATTTCATATTGGACAAAATTATAATTTAAATTATTTTCCTAATATTTAGGACCTTAAAATCAATAATTTTTTGAGTTATTAATCGTTTTTGAAATATTTATAGAGTCCCAATAAAATTGATTAAGATTTACCTTACATAAATTCTTTCCTAATTAAAGTATGTAACATATTTGTAATTATTAGTACCAAAATTTTAAAAAAAAAAATTAAGGCTAAACATTAACTACACGTAGAAGGAGTTCTTGGGCATAAAGTTTTTAAAAATTAAGTATAATTTGTTATGTTTTTTCCCTAATATTTAGTATCTTGATATAAACTAAAATTTTATTTATTAAATTTTATTAGGACTAAGACCTTATATTTAGGATTTCGATATCAATTAGAACTTAATCAAAATCAATTAAGCTTTTATCTAATCCAAATTATTTATACCTATAGCTTTCCATATATTATATACTATATTAAAAGTACGAACTTCCTTAGCGGAATGTTGTTCTTCTTTTCTACACTTTAAAAAATAATTTCTTATTTGATAAAAGTGTAAATTATTTTTTTTTTCTAATATTTAAGTGAAATACATTAAAATTTTGGTATTAAATCTTTTCTTATTTGAACTACGTAGGAACTCCTAATATTTAAGTTATAAATTTATTTCTTAAATTTCTAATCACTAAAAGTTACTATTGTAAACTACCATAAACACATAAGGGCGAGTAAGAAAATATCTTTAAATAAACGGCATGCTTAAGTTTAAAAATAATAATAATAATTCATAATAATAATATATAACATACTTTAATTTTTTATTTACATATTGTAATATATGGCCATACTAAATCCCAAACACAATTACAATATTTGACAAAGTGAAGCATAGATAAGATACTTAGATTTATATATTGAAATTAGCAATAAATTGTACTCTAATTTATAATATCGTTTAAAATATAACTTTCTACGTACTTTTTTAAAAAAATATGCTTTTTAAGTAATATAGGAAGTCAAATAATATTATTCATATGATTTTTTAAAATTTATTCCCAACGATAAGCATACTCGCAACGAGCGTACTCTAAAACTATCCCGTCTAGGCACGGAGGTCCTTAACGAAATGTCATTCGCCTTTTCTGTCTTTTGAAAATAGAGTTCACACTGAACAAAATAGTCATTTTATAATTTTACTAGGACTTTAAAATCAACTAAAATTTTCTCTATTAAATCTTTACTTATTTAAATATATAATAATTGCTAAAATTTAGATTCATTAAAACTTTTACCTTACAAATAAAGATAGATGAAGAAGCTATAGCCCTAGAAAAACTTTATTCTTTATAGACATCATTAAACAAAAAATTATGCTAAGAAACAAAAAAAGAGAAATTCAAGTTATGGACTAACTAATTATTTGAAGTTTGTAATGCTTTATTAGACATTCTAGAAAAACAAAACCTTTAAAAGGGTTGATAAAAAATAATTTGTGACGACCCGACCCGTCGTCTCATGTATTACAGCCCCGTTTCCCCCATTTACTGCTTCTTCATGTTTCATTATCAGCAACGAGTGAGTTATAGTTGAATTGAATTGGTTTGGATAGGAAATGAGACACTTAGTCTCTTTAAGGAAGGCTTAAGTTGGAAAGGTCAACCGGACGTTGACTTATGAGTTAGAAGGCTCGAATGTGATTTCCGGTGATTCGGTTAGCTTCGGGGGATGATTTGTGACTTGGGAGTGCGATCGGAATTGATTTTGGAGGCCCGGGTGTAGAATTAGGCTTGAATTGGCGAGGTTAGTATTTTGGCGAATTTCGGTGGATGGGTGAGAATTTGATCCGGGGGTCGGAATGGAATTCCGAGAGTTGCTGTAGCTTCGTAAGGTGATTTTGGATATGTGTGCAAAATTTTAGGTCATTCGGAGGTGTTTTGGTCGGGTTTTTGATCAAATGCGTAATTCGGAAGTTTTTAAGAAACTTAGGCTTGAATTCGATGTGATTTGATGGCTTTACCGTTGTTTGATGTGGTTTGATGATGGGAACAAGTTTGAATGAGGTTTTAGGATGTATTGGTATTTTTGGTTGAGGTCCCCGGGGTCTCGGGGTGAATTCGGGTGGTTAAACGGAGAATTCGGAGTTTGTTGTAGGTTTG